CTCCTTTTCAAACATAAATGGTAAGCGGGCATCCCTCCCATTCCCCTGTGTACCCTTACGTTCGTGATAAGTGGAAAGTGCCCTAGTACATTGGTGATCAGTGGGAGGAAAAATGTCTATTTACATTCATGGTCAGTATGAAAGAAGAATGGTTGCTAACATTGGTGGTCAGTGAAAAGAAGAATGTCCACTTACACTGGTCCTCAGTGGTAGGATGTCCGTTTGGTTGGTGGTCAATAAAAGAATGGGCAATCTGGGGGTGTAAACTGTGGGCATGACAAGTCACCCTTGCCTTGCCCTCGTGCTGCCAGTGTGTACCCCCCCCCTCCCCCTTACTGCACAGACCCCATAGGATGCACATAGGCTGCTATAGCGAGAGTGACAGAGTGCCTGATATTGTTCTCTTGTGCTTTCATAGCAGTAGTCGTGAGTACATTTTCTTATTTGAAAAATCCTTTCAGGCCATTTGATAATGCCATCAGTCATGACGAATGTCATTTGAAAATTTAGTTTGAGTTTAAAATGTAATTTACATATCAATTTTAGAATGAATGGAGTTTCCCAAACAAAAACCACAACTTTTTTAATTCAAGAAAAGATTTACATCCTTCTCCTTAAATTTTCTTCATCACTACGGTCAAAAGTAATTGCCGATTTGACCCCATTAACTGTTAGAAAACCGGGCAAACGTTCTGAACATTCAAACTGAATTCTACTGGTGTATGGCCAGTTTAACACAGACTTTACAGACACAATGTCTTCCTTTGGCAAAAGGTATTACAAAACCCTTACATATCTAGAGTGATGTGTGCCTAAACCATGAACAGGATTATAGTGTATAGTGTATATTGTGCAGGTGTTCCTGAAGGAGAAAGGCAGGGAAATACTAAAGAAGAAATGGGAAGAAGTTCAGAGCTTGGCAGCTCTCACTTTACAGAGAAATCTTCGAGGATTCCTTAACCGCAAAAACTTTCAAGCTTATCGGCGCAAGATCACCGTTGTTCAGGCACACGTCAGGGGACGTCAGGTCAGGTGAGTAACCCAGGATCTTGTAATCGCTGATGCTGAACATGCACTACCACTGCAGAACAGTGTTCCTCCAGAATAAAACATTTTTTATTAAAGGTTTTCCCGCAGAGAGTGTTGTTTATGCCCTCTTGGCTATATAATAATACTGGCCTGTATTTCTGTTAAAGAACACTCTGGCCTAAACAGATAAGCTTCTATAGTTTCTATTTATATCTGTGCATATAGGATGTCTTGTCTCATTTTGTAACACTCAGAGGCTGCTAATATGCGAAGCAGCTCAAGTGGGAAAAAAAAACAGACAAATAGAATAATGCTGGTCTGTTTTTTCTGCTTTTAAGTGTAACTGTGGTCAGCCTATAAACAGTGAAATATTTACATATTCTTAACAAGCAGTAAACGAGCTTTAAAAAGTGATCACTGACCTTTTTAGCTGCAGGCACTCTGAAGCAATTCATCCTCAAAGCTCAAAACTAAAATACTGAATTCCTTATCTAAGCCAGCTCTTCTCACCATCCCCCCCTTCCCAGCTGTTAGTTGCCAGCATCCGAGCATTCTAATTTCTAATGTGATTTTAGAGCAGGTGCTCAGGAAGTGGATAACCATGTACCCCAACCATAAGTGCAGGCTGGCATGTTAAATACTTTTCTTAATACTTTATTAGGAGACAGAGGATCAGAAGTAATTTAGACAACTGAGTTATACTGATACCTACAAGAAGAATTAGGCACTTGCAAACAAACAAACAAACAAAATTAGCCACTCAGGTGTAACCCCACCCACTCCCATCATGCTTCAGGTTTTTTTTTTTTGCTAGTGTCCTACGAGCATGGATATCTTTTTCTCTATAGAGAAAAGGGTAAGCTATGTTTTATTAGACATTGCCCTTCTTTTTTTTATATCAAGATGTTTTTTTCTTCAATCATGACTTCTTTGCTACGCGGCTCAGCCCAGCTTTTTATGCAGCTATCTGAATCAGCTAATCCATCTCAGTGCTGCCTTGGAGGTGGTACCCAGACCCCGTTGGACTAAAGATTATGGGGCTTGCCTTTAATGTGACCCTCAGGCACTGGGTTCTGCTTGTGGTGCTTCCGGAACATTTATGTGCTGTGTTAGTTAGCCTCAGAGCGCTTTACAGGTCCAGGGCCAAGACACAGCCTTTGGTTTAACCTTGTCTCTGAAATCTACCTTATGAGTATGCCTATGGGTGGAATGAAGATAGCCTGGAATGTGATTTTTGGTCTCTGGGCTCTGTATGTGGAGCTCCTCAGTCCTGTGTACTGTGTTAGTTAGCTGCAGAGCACTGTCCAGGTCCTGTAAGTCTCTTGGGAACCTCTTGTCCTATATGTCCATGGAAGACTATCTTTTTTACCCACTGTTTTACCCACTAGCTACAGTTTTGTGTGCATGCCCTTCAAACTCTGTTCTAGCCTTTTTTCAGCATGGCAGTAGCAGTGGATGCTCTCCTGGCTCCATGGGATCAGCACAAGCATATCTACACATTTTTATTCTCTGAAACCTCTTCCTCATCTGTTCCTCAGGACAGAGCTGTAGGGCATTCTGGTGATCCTTATAGCACCAAATTTGTCAAGACCATGTGGTACTCTGGCCTTATCAGACTCCTGGCAGACTTTCCATGGACTCTGCTAGATCAACCAGATCTTCTGTCCTAAGGACCTGTTTACCACCCTGCTTTATGGTCACTGGCTTTGATGGCATGGCTGTTGAAAGCTAGGTCCTGAGAGATGGAGGTCTTTATGAATTAGTAATTCCCACACTACTAAAAGCTAGGAAGTCTACCTTCAGGAGGGTCCATTGCACATAGTTCCAGTGACGTGCAGTAAGGTCAGAGCTAGGTGAGGCATTCCTCCTGCCCACCCCTGCCCTGCCCCCAGCACACCGATGCCCCATCCCAAACCCGGTCACTGAGCTATGTATGGAGGAGGGAGGGAGGGAGGGAGAAAGTGCTTGTTACTGGTGAGGCATTGAGATAGATGTCTTCAGTGTTTTGGGGTTTTTTTCTGTTTTTTTTATTGGACAGCTTGGACCAATGGCACTTTGCCATTGGTCCAAACCATCCACAGAGCTCAAGCCTCTAACACCATGTAGAGGCTGTTGCAGCTCTGGCCTCGCTATGTTAGGTTACACAAAGCAGTGGTGAAGACTTAACTGTCAAAAGTCGGATGCAGCGCCGCCTGTAATTAACAGGCAACGCTTTGTCCATGACAGGTTACACAGCGGGCTTTCCCTGCTGTGTAACCTGTTAGAAGCCGGTCTGAATGGAGAAAAAGCTGTCACTTTCCGATTTGAAGCTGACAGTTTTTTCTTCCATAATACTAGGTGAGGCTCTGCCTCCCCTGACCGCACGTCCCTGCATAGTTCCCCTGTGCAAGGCAAGACTTTTTTCACCCCAGGAGAATAAGAAACAATAAAAGAATGATGATTGAAATTATTACCCACATTCATGCATCTTTAATGCACTCCACTGCAAGGCACGCTAATGCACAAAACTAAGTGTGGTATGTTTCTTTTTGAATGCTACCCCAACACTCCCAGCCAATGCATCACACTTAACCTAAATGTGAACTATCTGTGATATGTTGCATTGAAAAAAATGGTGCAAGTTTGACTTAAAACCATTACTAGCACATTCAAAATGAATGAAAACAAGGTAATGTGCGTGTCTTAACTGCTTTCTTTGTTTGTTTTGCTTATGTTAGAGGCAATGGTTCGACTTTAAGTGCATATCCAGCCAAAACTTTATTTTTAGTTTTTAATAGAGTAAGGAAGATTAAAACCTCTGTTGGAGTTTTACTGCCACTAAGGACTCCAATAAAGAAAATTCCCCGTACTTCCTCTCCTGATGACAACTGTTTTACCAGACAGCAATTAAGAGAAAATCTTCAACAGCAATACAGAAATAAAATGCTTCTTTTAGTAGAGTAGAGAAAAACTAGAACCCCTCTCAGCTTTTTATTGTCTGTGTCGCTGTTGCAGATTTTCCCTCTTTTGAAGCTGCTGTCACTAGGACATAAGGCTACATTCACTGAATGACACCTGAGATTCCTGCAGCAAGAGCCTATGGATTCCCATGGCAAGAATCGCAGGTGTCCCCAATCCTATGGCTGCTGTACCAACTGAAATAAATGACAAGGTGACAGCGGCTGCATCTCTCACTGGCAGTCTGCATGTATTCGTACATGCTACAATGACATGCGGTTTTGGACAGGTGATTGTCCCTTGACGCAGGACAGATATGTCCAGCAACAAACTGAATGCATCTGAACAGGGACACCTGGGATTCCTGCTACAGAAATCCATAGATTCTTGCCGCAGGAATCCCAGAATTCCTCATGTGAATGAGGCCTCAGTGAGAGGAAATCCAACAGCATTCCAGATAGCAGTTAGAACCCAACACTGGTTTAAATTCTTCTCCACTCTATCCTTAATTCTGGCTGAACATACACTTTAACACCAAACTGCACAAAGCAATATGCAACAGATAAATGTTTTTGCATTGTGTAGCATAGAAAATTTGTCACGGCTGGTCATAATATTGTTGTGTGCCCAATTGCAGGAGACGTTACAGAAGACTGAAAAACAGCCGAGTCCAGTTTGGAGCTGTCTCTTTAATCTCCAGAATTCCTTCCATACACAGGCGCATCTGTCAGGTGAGTCAAGCATTAGTCTTATATCAGTATGTCCCAACCTCCTATCTGCCTAGTACGTCACTCTCCTGTCATATAAACATACCCTTTCCACTCAACATTACGGCAGCATGGTTCTTCCTTGTATCCTATGTATGTCTTAATACACTCCCAGTTGTGTAATCATTATGTTTCCTTCTCTGGGATCTATGATGTACCAAAGTCCATATGAGATACTCTTAAAGCAGTCACTGCTTCTCTGGAGTTCTCTGTATCCTTCTTGCTCTTTCTGATTTTTTTTTCTCCATTTGGACTTTGCTCTCTCCTACCCTCTGGGTGTGACTCTCTGTCACTTACTGTCACAGAGCTACAAGCAATACATGACACTGGCTGCCGAAGGGCTCCCTTCATCATAGACGGCAGATAGGTATATTTCTTAGGATTATGTGAGGCTAGTCTTCTATTAGTGTGCTGTAATTGTTCAGCTTGTGTAAGACATTGAGGGGAATGAGAAAAAATAAGGATGATTTGTGTCTGGGTAGCTATTACTTGCCAGTATTATATTGTACGCCTTATGTCGTCTATCCGATTAGCTTTTATGTACCTCATATGTTTGTCTTATAAGAGCTTTGTTTTCAGGATAGTTATATATATAAATGGTATGTAACCATTTTGATCCATACTTTTAAAATGTGTTTTTGTGTGTATTTTTCCATTGTTTATATATATATATATATATATATATATATATATATATATATATATATATAGAAGGTATATATATGATAATGTTTTGATCATTGTCTGGCTGTTCCTCTATGGCGTGTACCTTTTTAATATGTACACCTGTCCACTTTCATGTATTCAGTGTGTCATGATTTCCTTTCCAGCAATAATCAGTATGATATTTATGGCTTTTGTTTTCTGAAGGTGAAGGGAACAAGCCAAGAGCCCCTGTCCTCTATGGTAAGTTTGTGAATTATATTAAGCCGTAACACATGCGCACTTCTTTATTTTTTTTTTAAAGGATTTAAGCCTGAATGTTTTTTCAGTACTCCAATAACTTGGAAATCAACAGAACATGATCCTTTAGCAAAAGAGAAATCTTTACAGACCAGATTTGCGAACACATAAGTCTATTTATAATTATGTTCACACAAGATTCACACAAAGTCACCCGCACATTTTTGGGGTTAATTCAATTGGAACAATATGTGGATCTTGTATGAAAACATACATAAGGATGCATTGACACTAGCCCATCTGCTAAAACGCTCCATTGTAGCAGATGGGTTAGTTTGTTGTGGCAGCTCCAGCAGTGTTCATTGTATTGCACAGTGCCAGAGTTGTCACTGTTTACAATTTTTTTTAACTTTATGTGGAGTGTACAATGTGTTCACACCATTCAGGTCCCCCTATAGCAGTGTGGTGTGGTGCACTCCGCTGCCCTGCGGCGATCTGCGGTGCCATGCAGTTGGGTGTGATAAAATGCAGCATGTTTGTGTTGTGATGTGAATGGGATGCATTGAATACAATTGTTTTCTATGTGTCCTTAAAGTGTGGTACAACACAGGTCATGGCACTATGTGTGAACGGGCCCTACATAGACCCTTTAGAGTGGATCAGACCTATATGTTACTTTAGTCTGAACGTGTTAAAGGCCAAAAGTAACCAAATACTTTATATATTTTGGCTAGCGTGGAGTACAGTTAAAATCTCAAACAGAAGCAGTATGTGACATTGGGTATTGAATAAACATATCAATACTTTAAAAACCCTTCAAGTGTGTGCCGGTGAATTACTTTTATTTACTATAACTGTTTTGCACGGCGCCGTCCGTGTGGTCACCTGGGCACCACATATACCTTGTAGTTTTTATACCGTGGACGTGTGAATGGGATTTGGACTTTGCAGTTAAAATCTCTGTCTACATTATATTGCCATCTCTTTCTCTTTTGGGGAGATTTCCTTCTTACTTCTCAAAAGTGAAAATGTGGAGAACATCCCCAATGGGGCAAAAGAATGAAAGAAAAACCTGGAAGTTCTAATTATTCCTCACTCTGCTAAAGCATGTTTTGTTGTCTGTTTTCCTGTTGAAGTCATTATGTTTGATTCCTGTAAAGATGACCAAGCAGAAAATTAAAAAAACAATCTCTCCAATAGGGACACAGACAGCTGGTAAAACCTGGAAACCTTAAGCGCAAGCCACGTCACTAAAATGGGATAAATGGCGCCTTTCTGCTTCTCTCCCTAGGTGCATCTTGCAGAGAATGGGAAAGGGTCAAGTGACCTAAGCTTTAATACTATTTTTCAGGTTCTGAGAGTTATAATGAAACACAAATGTTACTTGATTCTGGCACAGCTGGTGAGAAGGCAGTAAAGATTCATTTATCATGTTTAGCTTTAAGGAAAGGGCTAAACATTGATCTGTATTATTTAATTTATTGAAAAGATAACTATGACCCAACCTTTTTAGGCCATGGTTCTCTTTAGGGTCACAGGAGGACATTTACTAATGTCCTCCTGTGACCCAAAATTCTACTATTGCTCGCTATATGCTGGCAGCACAGAGCCACTCTGCAGCCAGGACAGAATTAGATAATATTGTCGAGATCCACCCCACTGCCGGATTAACAGCCAGCTGTGCCCGCCCTCTCCCCAGTCAGTGCTGGAGGAATAGAGTGAGGGGAGGGGGGAATCCCAACGGGGAGTGATAACTAACAGTCACCGCTCTCCTCAGAGAGAAGATCGGGAACTCAACAATCGGCAATATGTGATCGCTCATTTCTCGATCAATAGGACCAGCCTGTGACAGCTTCATTGTCACAAGTCAGCTCTACTTATGGGGATGAGTTTATTTCACTCTCCCCATAATTCTCTTTTAAATAGTAACTTGTAGGGATACACTGATACCGGTTTTTCGGTATCAAGTACGAGTACCAAACTTTTTTTCTTTTGGTACTCGCTGATACAGAGTACCGATACCGGTGCTTGTGCTGGCATGGAGCCGGCTTCCAGGCAATCAGGAAGCTGGGCGGTGGGTAATGACATGCCGCTCTGCCTCCTGATTGCCCGCGAAGCGGGCTCCATGTTGTTTGGCTGGCTTGATTGTGATCGGCCGATAAATCAGCTTCCTGGCCAATCAGGAAGTAATGAAATACCAAGGAACCGGCTGTTCGGCCGGCTCGATGGTGATTGGCCGGGAAGCCGGCTAATTGAGCCGGCTTCCCGGCCAATCAGAAAGCAGGGAGGCGGGACATTACTCGCCGCGCAGCTTCCTGATCGCACGAGAAGCTGGCTCCATTTTCCTCTACGGCACTGCCGGTCAGAGGAAATCTTCCGCTGACCTGAAGTTCCGGTATCGGGGAAGGTATCCGAGCATTTGGGCCAGTACGGTCCACAGTCACCGAAATGCTCGGTATTAGCACCAATAACTATACTAGTATCGGTATCAGTGCAAGCCTAGTAAATTGTTTTTGTGTATAACTACCAGTTATGGCCTCTTATTGTCTTTTTACATACAGATAATAAAAGGAAGACTCTAGCTGAAATGGGCTTTAATTATTAAAGCTATCATTTAAAACAGGGAGCAGATAAAATACATATATTGTATGTAATTATGAGTTTGCTGAGTCTCTGCTATGTATATTTTATAACGTAAGCCATTTATTAGTTATACAACATATGTGTCTATAATCTGTTTTCCCACCCCTACTTCTTCCCGATGATCTGGCATGTAGAAGTACAAAAAAACTTGGACCTAGGACAATTGCAGTTAACCAATCCCACTTTTATGGTTGTTGTAAATGCCAAATGCTCATAGGTACAAAATTAAAGGAGCTGCACATACAAGTCCTTATTACATCCAGATTTCAGTATCAGTACAGTATCAAATAGATAGACAGAAGAGGTGTTGTCCATATAGAATAAAGCTATATGCTTGTCTTACATATCAGACTGTGTAAAACCTCTTTAGTGGTGCTTTACTGAAACATGTCTGGAGACTGAAACTATACTAGGTTTTCCATAAAGCTATATATAGTTTACAGTTTAAGCTAACCCTGAAAACAAGAGTCTATGCAGTGTTTGTAGTCAATACATATTTTGAGTTATTTTAATAGCATGTATTTGAAAAATGTAATTTTTATGGGATTTTAACAAGCTTCCTGTTCTGTATTTTGATGGCTTTGTTTCTTAGAAATAAGACATATTTGCAGATGTGTCCTCTTGTGACAGTTTGAAAATAAAGGTTTCACGTGTGCATGCAATTGGTACAGGTGAATGATTTGCATGTTGGTTGTTGGACTTTAAAACATTGGGAAATATTATTGCATTTAGAAAATCTGGTTTTGAGGGATTGTCCACTGAAATATTATAAAACTGAGTTGCTACATATGACCAGTTTAAGAGTAACAGGTTACTCTGTGTAAGCTAATCAAGCTTTATTGCATGCAAAATGCTGGCAGTTCAGCAGTTATGGGAAAAGGAGTGCTCAGGGAGAGCCTCTTCATCAGTTCTAAGAAAACAGCAGTAGAAAACAGTGGTATCATCCTGCTAGCTGTTCAAGGTGGCAGGAATGTGTGAATCACAAGATTGGCTGGTCAAAATTCCAAATATTCTAGCAGATTAAACCATTCCCATTTATCTAGTTCAGCTTTCTACTAGGCTATTTTGTTGGGTGAGCGACATTTAAAACACAGTACATTTATCCTTTTTTTCACACTCCCAACCTAAAATACCCCACTCACCCCCTTTCCAGATACATATTTACCCCAATGCCATGGCCTCCCGCAATGTTTACATAATTCACGGAAAATCTCTGTGCTGGCTGCACCTGTGTAGTAGACTTTTGTAGGATCAATTTGCAAGGTCAGTGGGCTCAATTGTGCAGGCCTGGCCAGAGCCGGAAAGTTATTCTGCAAAGAGATGAGTTACTGTGGGACTTGTATGGTTGCTGTGGACAACACAGACATTTTAGATTTACACACTTTTATACATGAGGTCCTATGTTTCTGCTAGGTTGTTTATTGAAGTAGTTATATTTTCTATTACCATACTGGTAATTACTATATTCAGAAAACCAATGTGTAGAGGCTCATAGAATGGGTGGATTTAAGGCAGGACAACATCTGTCAAAATGCAAAAGGTGGTTGGAAAAAAAAACGGTGTAATTTCCACACAGACTCTAGTGCAAGTTTAAAATTAAACCTAACATTAATTAAATGTTAGCTTCCCTTTTCAGCTTGTCCAGTTAAGCATTGAAAATGAAAGCTAGAGGTTGCTATAAAAGCTGCTTCAGTTTCGGTCTGCTCTGGTCTTAGTAAAATTCCCCTCATTAAAATGAATGTGACGGGGCATGGTCTGGCTATGGCGGGTAGGGGCCTACGTTTATGCAGCTCCGTGTTCTCAACCCCATTCAGTGGTGTATTCTGTTGATCGAGCACCATGTCCAGATGCAGAAAGACCCAGCGGAGATCCGGGTCGGGTGCTGCTGTAGGAGGAATTATAGATTGCTCTATTGTATTTAAAAATAACCTCCACGGACTCAAAGATTGTTATAGAAAAAGTCTTCACTCTGCTTTATTTACATGCGCATGGGAGAATCTATACAGACAATGCATGGAGTTGAGCTTGTCCCCCCTCCCGTCTGAAAGAGTCTCTAACTAAATCTAAGGTGCATAAATCTTTTATAGTTGTTTATGATAATTCATTTCTGGCTGGGTGCCTTCTTCGCGTCATATATCCTGGTCAAGCAAACTTCAAAGCGTTGATTTGTTAGCACATCTTAGGCCGTCCTACCTACGCAGTTTCAGCAGTGCAATCTTTTCTTTTGTCCCAGCCAAGGACCTTGAAAAGAACACAGATTAAAAACATGTATATTGCAATTATTTTTAATTCTGAGGCTTCAATACTTTTTAACCCCTTACATTTCCCCCCTGTTGAACCTCAGCAATTAAATTCTGTTT